CTACAATTAGCATGCCTAAAGAACCCACAAAGGGTGCATCTGGGAGCTTGAAATGCCCACATTAGAGATGATTATATTCTTCAGCATTCAACCGCAAGTTTTTATTGACAATAATTGGAAAATGTTCCCCATCCACAGGAAGGTCAAAGCTCAGATTTGGAGCTGAGAGAGATTTATTGCTTTCTCGAGGACACTTCAGCGGCACGGGTGCCTACTGACACAAAACTCACCCTGTAATGTAGTGACAGCTGCTACAATGTTGCATTAAAGTGCAACTGACTGTATTGGTTACTGTTGGTCAGCGGTTGTCCTCCAACACCCTCTTAAACTTGAGCTGCTCGTCTCCCGTCTGCAGCCTCTCTTCAAATAGCGGTCCAGCTGACTCATCCTAAACCCCTCTCACACATGCTTACGCACAGATAGTGAATCCCACAGATAGAAATATATCCACATACAAGTGCCACACACACACACACACACACACACACACACACACACACACACACACACACACACACACACACACAGACTCTACTTACCCCTGGTGAAAGTAGAGCTCAGCACATTTTTGCGGGGCATGTTGACACCCTGGCAGGATCTATGAGGAGGTTCTGGCATCAGCGGCATTTTGTTATTCCAACGTTTTTGCTCTTGTGAATACTAACTTCTCCATCTCAGAGCCACAGACCAAATAAGAAATCAGCCAAGTATTTCAGTCGCACCACATGACATTAGTGGATTTTGGAACTGCTAGTGAAAGGACGTATATTATTACTTTTCCGGCTCAGTCAAGTTTATTACCCAATGTATTCTTTATATTTATGCCTAAAGCCTCGCTGTGGTACAGATCTCTGCAGTGCAGACTGTGTATGGCAAATTTCCAGCGAGGACTGACTGAAATACCCTGTAAGTCACAAAGACAAGCAAATTCACTCTCACAGTGCATTCACACATGCTAAATGCAGTTAAAGGTAATCGAGTATCAACTTATAGCTCATGTAGCCAAGATAGCATGGACAGCAAGCATTATTCTTTTGACAGGTATGCAGAATATAGCAGATAAGCAACCTTGGACATTTATCTGCTCATACATGTGCCAAAATATGATAATATACAGATGTTTTCACTCAGATGTTAACATCTGAATGTTAGCATCTGAATGTTAGCATCCAGGCTACTGGAAGCTTGTTGAAAAACCAAAAATCAAAACACATAAATATTTTTCCATTTTAATAATATTGTTGCACCAAGAAAGTGATTAGCTATTAGTTGAAAACTTGACATGACATAGGACCTGAGAGATGCACCCAGACCTTCAGCTAATCTGTCTACTGTTCACTGGGGCCTCATCAGAAATGGTCTCAGTGGAAGGTTATCTGTCAAGAAGCTGTTCTTAATGAAGGAAAACAGGAAGAAAACGCTGAGGTACGCCAAATTGCACAAGAACTGTACTGAAAGTCAGTGCCAACAATGCAGCGATGAACCCAAATTGGACATTTTTTTGTTCAGACTGTCAAAATGTGCAGAGGAAGTCACGAGAGGGGTGCAAAATTGAGTGTCTACAGCCTTCTTTAGAACGTGGTGAAGACTCTCACAGAAACCGTCTGGAAAGTTTCATTTTTCAACATGACAATGATCTCAATGCAGTAAAGAATACCTGGATAGAAAATCCCACAATGGAACACAGTCATTCATGGATGGGCCTCAACATCACTGAAGCAGTGTGGGATCATCTTGACAGGGAAAAAATCAAAAGAAAATATCCAAAGATGAGCCTTGAAAGTCCTTAAAGAAGCCTGGAGAAGTATCCCTAAAGACTACGTAGCTCGTAAATTTCAGGCTGTGTTGAAGAATAAAGGTGTTCATAGCAAATATTAACCTCTTTTCGCTTTATACACTGTATTTTATACGTTTGCTTGTTTCCATAAATAATAATAATGGATTGCATTTATATGGCACTTTTCGAGACCCCCAAAGCGCTTTACAATTCCACTATTCATTCACATCACCAGTAGGCAGTAGGTGAAGTGTCTTGCCCAAGGACACAACGACCAAAACAGACAGAGCTGGGGATCGAACCGGCAACCTTCGGTTACAAGATGAGCTTTCCCAACCCCCTGAAGCACGGTCACCCGTAAATCAATTTCCCATTTTCTTAACAAAATACAAAGAAATGAAGGGTTGCTCAAAACATACTTATACCTACAGTATACTCTGAATATTGTTTTTTTACCACTTTCTTGATTACTGACAATATGAATGAATAAATAAATGGTAAATTTTCAATTTAAGAGTCTCTGCCATGATATTTATCTTTTGTGTATTGAAATTCAGTCCAACATTGTAAACAAACTTCCTTACAGCGCGTATCCCCCCACTGTGTTTCACTATATTCCCGTCCCACGATGGACCTGACTAATTAGTGGCAGCATGTTTCGACCAAGGTCTATAAATAGTCTTTCCTGTGCCTCGGGCCTCCTTTTAGTCAGGTCCCGATGGTCGTGTCAGAATGTCTTTACCAATATGGGGCACAGAACGGCTAATGTCAAACACGTGTGGAGAGGGAAAGGCTTTACAGAGAGAGGGAAAAAATGCTTCATCTTTTAAGTGATAATTACTTGATTCCTATTCTGCTTTTCTTGGCATTAGCCTTTGATCTCACGCAAGTCAGCTTGCAAAACAAGCATAAAATTACAAGAGAGTGTAATGATGTTAAAAACCCTACTGTTATGTGTCTAATTAGGACATCTCTCTCCTTCCCTTCTTGCTGCTATTTTTTAAATCTCACTCTCAATCTCCTCTCCTCTCTTCTTTGATGAACCCGGAGTGTCAAGAAAAATCTTGACACTCCGGGTTTATCTCCTACTTGCTTGCTTTGTGTTTGTGTGTGCAGCACGCATGCCTCTCGACACATTCGCTGCTGACTATGGCCTGACTGAGATGCCAGTGGAACAGGGTGCGTCTCCCAGAGCCAACTGCACATACTTCTGAAGTCAAGATTTGCAAGAGTCTTTCAGACAGCCCCCTCACTTGTAAACAGAACTAGGGTCTGTAGGAAGGAAACTGAACTCCACTTAGAGCTATTAACAGCATTCAGTAGAATACAGTGTGTATCCGCCGCATGAATATCTGAACTGTTAGACTGCAGGTTGGACGTGTGTCTTCATTACAAGTAGTATCGCAAAAGCTAAACATCTGTGTGCAAAATAAATTATACGTCCATATATATCAGCCTCTCCATGAAGTTTATACTGTGTCTTTATTGAGTTCATGTGGAAATATACTGAATTCAAATCAGAGGGCTTTGGAGGTATTCATCGGAGCAGTGCTAGGGCTCTCTGGCGCCTCCTCCCCCGTCCTCCCTACCTCTTCTCATCTCCTGACCACTTCCTCATGGCTTTGAAGCCGGGCGGCCTTCTCTGCTGCTGCCAGACAGGACACCCCACATCCTGTGAGAGACAGGAAGGAGCTCTGCTCATACTGCAGCCCCAGACACAAAATCTGTGCTCCAGAAACCTTCAGAAAAACCTGCTACTGTGTTACTTCTCACACTGTTCTTGTCAGACTGAAGCAAATACACAGAAATGTAGATTAAACAAATTAAAATCAGTCCTCAAAGATGCATCTCAAATCTGCAAGGATCTCAACAGCTGTTACTAATTTCCCTGAGCTTCTTTTGGATAGGCTCACCCGTGCTTCAGCGAAGACAATCCAGAACCTCCATCTGCTGGAGAGCTGGTGGTGGTGGTTTTGGTAGCTGCACTGACGAGCCGCATGCAGATCAAGAATTTGGGTGCCAGTGCAGAGTTTTCTTTAGCTCATACAAATGCGCAGTCAGGATCTGTGAAGCTGGGATCAAGAGTCCGTGCACATCAAAATGTGCTAATGTCCAGTGGCAGCGCTCTATCTCAGCCACTGGACACGTTCTCAGAACTTGTGATTGCCTCATGAAATGCAACATCTGCTGTTGTTTCGAGCTGAAGTTTTAGTTTAAGGGGACTATTTTTAAAATGCAAACGTATTTGAATTTTGCTAATAAAATCATATCATGCACCCTCACATTCTGCGAACACCCAGAACTGATGGGAAACTTTACCTGCTTTACTACATGCCTGCAGTTTAAGGTCAAAGGGAGTGAACCAAAAGACCTGCAGCCCCACCAAACTTTGTGTGAGCCCAGCTGTCATTTGTGTTTCGGACAGGCATGCCAGCTTGAGAGAATATTGCTTTTTCAAGTAATGAAAACAGGCACACACCCAAAATCCTTGGTCTAATTCCAGAAAAGAGAAGAGATGACCTTGAATAAAAAGCTCCCGAGCTATGACAGAACTGACTGTTCCTTGTAGTGGCAGCCTAACCTCTGCCAGGAGCAATCGGCTTTGCTGCCCTGTCAGCTTCCAGGTGTGGGAACCCCCTCTCTGCCAGACAGCCATCGAATGCATGACTGTAATTCAGAGCATTAAGATGCAGTAGAGTTCTTGTAGAGGGAACTGGCAGGGGGACAGATTCACACACTGCTCCCAGCATGAAAGAGTCAAGGCTTTGAGGTGGGCTGATGCTTCAGTGAAGACAGCCTGATGGGCTGGACTTCCTAACAGATTCCACTTCACTCAGACAGCAATACAGTGGGCCAACTAATTAGATGATCTATTTGCATACGTATATTTTATTGCGTTTTTACTTGTCACTTTGCCATGTCTGCCAGTATCACCCATGTCAGACTTGTTGGTTCTTCCAGAAATGACACTGTGTGACTGGATTTGTGGTGTAAGTCTCATAAAGCCTACCCATGAACCCTAAAATTGTCTCACTGAGGCACAGCAAGACATGGATAAAGTTCCAGAAAATGGAAAAAAGGTTGGCAAATATATTTTAACAAAAGCAAACAATACTTTCAAGGTCTGTGAATTGAGGGAAATGTAAAACTAGCCCTGGGCGTACCTTTGTTAGAAACTCACCATGTATTTATGTAGCGCCAGAGGTTGAGTGTGTTTGCCAGCAGTGACAGGAGACACCTAGTGGCCTGTTTGGATTTAATACAAAACCCATATTAACCATAGCCCATATTAACATCACAGCTGAAAACACATCTTCGTCATCTTCTCTTCTCTTCTCTTCTCTTCTCTTCTCTTCTCTTCTCTTCTCTTCTCTTCTCTTCAACGTTTTTAGATGTCTTAATATCCGTTAACCCCAACAGCAAAGAGACTTTGCAGGGGAGCATTGAAGAATAACAGCCAGAGTATGGGACACACAGGGGTACATTTGCCCGATGAGTCTCCAGCATTTAATGTGCTTTAATTGGCTCAGGAGTTAATGTTACCCAACCCCAGAGTTCAAGTTTTATAATAACATTACTGCCAGACTATGCACCCCACTCACCTCGCAGATCCCATCATGCTGATGGCTGCCATGCTGATTATATTTGTCAAACCTTACTCTAGCTGGGTTTTTTTAATCTGTAAAAGGGTTTGTAAAAGTGATGGTGGGTCATCAGCAGAGCTGCAGGTGTTAATTATAACAACGGTAGTTCTGTAGGACACTTACAGTGCAGATTTATAGCTTCTGTGCATGTGTGCAAATTTATACATGTGCACACCAGCAGAACAGTAACTTCAGAAATCTTGGAGTAATTATAAATTTAGGAGCAGAATTTAGGGCCATTAAAACTAAGTACGACTTCTTCCCAGTGACAGAGGGCTGTTTGTTGCTGGGCCTCAACGTCTCTCCACTCAGGACAGAGGCAGTAGTGCCAGTGTGCCAAATGCTGGAAGTGGGTCAGTGCACAGTCACACAGTGGCTGCAACGCATACATCACGCGTGCACCTGTACAAACATACAGAGAGAGGGAAAGCAGAGGAGAGTCCACATTCAATTCAAGACACATTTTAAGGACATTTTTAAGCACAAGGCTACACGTTTAGCTACACAAAATGATGAACTTATAAAATAGTATACCAAATATGAAAGCTGTATGAGTAAAGCCTCTATGTTTGTAATTTTGCACTGGCGAACTTGGTAAAGTCTGCAGTAACCGCCCTGTTTGTCAGACAGAAGAAGGATCTTGCCTGCATCAAAGCCAAGACCGCAGTGGTAGTATATTTTATTGCCTTATTTGCATTTATGTTCTCAGCTATAGCTCTTTATAGTTCAGAGACTATAGCTGTATGTGATTCAGCAATCTGCAACTAATGAATGCAGAAAAGATATATATATATATAGATAGATAGATAGATAGATAGATAGATAGATAGATAGATAGATAGATAGATAGATAGATAGATAGATAGATAGATAGATAGATAGATAGATAGATAGATAGATAGATAGATAGATAGATAAGGAGCAGGATGCTATTTTATGTCAAATGTCTGGTTAGGATAAAAGACTCAAAGCAGGAGTCTTCATCAACTGGTTAAGAAAAGCATGCAGTCATTTCACTTTTATCAAAAGAAAACACAAAGAAAAAACAGGATAATTATGACGATGAAAGACGTCTTTCTAAAGAGCAACAAGATATAACTTGCTTTGAAGAAAATATTTGTGTTGCTTCTTTGTGAGACTGTGCTTAAGCACAGCAGTTGCCTCGAGCTAAACAGTAACATCCACATGCTTCCTGACTGAACAATTATAATTTACTTTTATAATATTTGCTATTAGCCTAGAGGAATTTTACTTAATTGTTCATTTTAAAGGCACCATAAAACACTATGGGAATGCCTCAGCACACATATGGATTACTGGCAAATTGTATATAAATGATAAAAAATAAAGGTAATAATTTGTAGCACAATGTTCTTGTTTACTTGCTTGTGCTAGTAAACAAGCTTGTATACTTTGCTCAGTCCTCAAGCCATTGTTAAAAGGAAATGGATGCGCCCATGAAATCAACCTTCACTGCAGATTTCAGTGGAACTGGAGGCAAGCAGAATTAACCCTGCTTTCTCAGACAATATCCAACTGTGGCCACATGATAGCAGCAATTAAAAGGACGCAGTGAAAGATGCTAATGGCACAGAATACTGTTGAGATGGAAAGAGAGGTTTCACTCTGGGATTAATTGATTTTTAGATTTCTATTTTTAGATTTCACTGGGCAAGCAGTATTTGCTGTGCTTGCCCCGATGGAAGACAACTGTTTAGAGCACATAAAAACTGTTTTTCTCTCCATAGCTAATCCCCCATTCATGACAGCTATACCAAGGTTAATATTTTTAATATAATTTACCTGTTAAAATATTATATACGCTTAAGTTAAGTGTGTAGCTGCTTTACTGGTAAGTAAATGCTCACACAGCTGTTGCAGTCTGTCCCTGTCTGCTAAGTTTCACCTTTACAGGACTGACCATGTTTGTTGTTTTGTTGACTTTTGGTTCTTTTGATTTGATTCATTTGAAAAAAAAAACAGCACTTTGTCATGTCTCTGTGTAGGCAGGCAGGAAGAGAGGACCCAAAATGCAGGACTCACGGAGGCGGAAGAAACTCAAAATAAACAGCTTTATTGCTGGGATGAAGCAGAACAGGAAAAACACTAACTAAACTGGGAGTACAGAATAACTAGACAGGTTGGCAGGCTGGCAACCAGAACACAGAGGAAGTGAGGGTACAATGCAACACTGACACAAAGAAACACTGGGCTTAAATACACTGAGGAAGTCATCAAAGATTTAGAGACAGAAAGGGAGCACAGCTCAGAGGAATAAGACCTAATGAGACGGGGGGAACAAAGCTAGAAACACTGACATAAGACAGGAACATGAAACTTCAGAGGAAAACAGGAAACAAGACACACTTTACTAGGACACGGACTCGACAGAGTGAGACAGACAAGACGCTGAACTGAACCGGCAATAATAACCAAATACAACCCGAACCTTAATCATAATGCAGAGACATACCAGAATAACTGAAACACAGATTCATAATAAAAATCAACAAAGCTCGAGAGAAACATACAGAACAATCCATCATTCAACAATAAACCAAAACATAAGGAACTCAAAATGCTGGGTCAATCCGACCCAGGACCGTGACACACTTGGTCTATGGTCTATGGATTCACCTTTAAACCACCGAGAATGTAAAAGAACTCCACTTGAGGCTTCAAAACGAGAGTGTCCCTATGCATCGTTTTTGTTTTGAAATCTATGTCCATCTTTTTTATACAGTCTGTGATATTAATGTCATTAGTTCAGCATGTGTTTTATTTAAAAGAAATACAAAAAGAATTGTGGAAATTAAATTCCTGAACAAATGATTGTACTCGAGGCAGTTATAGAGTCATATTCTGGAAACTGTGAATGTCCATCCAAAAAATTTGTACCAGTCTGTTTTGTAGATGTGAAGTTGTGCCACTGGATAAATCAAACATTTTGGCTTGCTTGTGGTGCAAGACTAATGCTTGTTTATTAAATGTCACAAGTAAGTATAGATGATAGACACTCCAGGACAGTGCCTGATGAATTCCAGACCGCTGAGGGAACTATAACAAATGGTTCAGACCAGTGGGTGTCACAGACAAGTCTGCTGGTCTGGAAAGTATCATACCAGGGGAATGGTCATATTCATACCTGGGGTCAATCCGCAGAAACCCTGGTGTTACAAGAGTGGATGTAAATAGCCGATGTGTGGCATGTACAAATTTTAAGTTCAGAAAATCTCAATTTGGGCCTCATTTTTCTTTTGGCAAAAGAATTATGGCTTTTTTTTCTTTCTTTCTTTTTTTTACCTGTATTTAAAACGTGGAAGGAAACTAAGTCACTCACTGGTAAGTGTAGCATTGTATGCCAGCATCTTGACTGGCACTAGTTTGTTAGGATTTTAAAACCTTTACCTTAGTAAAAGTAAATGATTTTACATGTTTACTCACACTGTCTGAATCTTTGTGATCTCAAAAATGAAAAGGTGGGTTCCCCGCTATTTCTCCCCCATGTCTGTCTTTTTCTTACCGCATGGGCTGTCCTCTATGACCGCAAGTAAACACCCTCTTCAAAGTTTTGCTCTTTTAATGCACAGTATGAATAAATTGCTCCAAGCCCATAAACTTTAACAGCTGTTTTGTTGCTCATTGCAGTTTCCTGCGTTGCTCATGCCCCGAGTGGAAAAACTCCCTGACTGCTTGCCTGTTATGAATCTGCTTGTTCTCATAAAACATTTCTTTAATTCTGTGGGATTTTTTTAAGTGCTTGGACCTGTGAGCCGGTCTCAACATCTCTTCTCACTAAGAGAAAGTCGTAAAGAAAAGCTCCCGTAAAGAGGTTAATTAAAAGTCTTAAAACTGCTGGTTAATTAGGGAGCTTTAATTTAAAAATACAGGTCATTATGTTGCATCAACAAAGGATAAATGAGATGCAACTATAAATGCTGTAAATAAATCAAATGTAACTTATATTTCTTGCTAATGCTGGAGAGATCAAATTTTCCTGCACATACAAAACATTATAGGTATGATTTTCTTTGCACCGTCTGTTTTGTACTAGCCTTCAAAGGCTTACAGCTCTTTATTAGTAGTTCACTGATTACACAGAAAACATCTCAGTCGGGGCTAGTTCACCTGACCAAACAGCTCCTGATTAAAGAAGCTTGTTCTGGGTGGAAGCTTTCTCCTCCACGACTTAAGGGTGAAAGGTAAATATCCAAGTGCACCTGAAACACTCCAGAGCAGACACCCTTTGGTACAATTTGCCAAGCATATAGGTCTAAATATACTCTGCCAGCTGCGAACACAAATCATACAATCAACCTCAAATGCACAGTTTATATATCTCAATATATTATCCCTTTGGAACATTTTTATGTTGTTTATCACAAGTGATGAAACTACTGTGCAGTGTTGAAATATTGTTGTTGGCAGCCACAGCCCTTCAATTTCGGTGCTGTAATGAGCGAGTTTACCTGCCGTAATAGGCAGCTTTGTATCTGCACAGCTGCAGCAGATGTGTCCTCTCCGTCTCTGCTGGTTTAGGGGAGACAGAGTTACTGTGGGAAAGGGAGAAGCTTGTTTGAAGCAGGCAAATCTGCTGGGTCTTTTAAATAACATCCAGTAACACATCCAGAGAGAAAACTGAAACTTTAAGTAGATTATTGAATGTATTATGGAGAATAGATCATCTGAATTTCTCAGATATTACAGCTGTTACTCATAAAGAAAAACATCTGGAATGAAAAGCTCATAATTCTTTTTATTTAGTTAAATCATGACTTTCAGTGACCGTAAACTTCAATCAAATGGATGAGTCAGACGTGATCAAATGTTGTAATGTACCTATTCCACTGAATGGGGAATGGGAACATTCCCAAATCTGTGGATTCAACGAAGTCTTTTTTAAAAGACTTAACATTCCCATTATGGAGCAGCATGGGCTGCACGGTGGTGCAGTGGTTAGCGCTGTTGCCTCACATTAAGAAGTACCAAGGTTTGAATCCACCAACCATGTACAGCGCACATGTTTTTTGCTTGCGTGGGATCTCTCAGGTGATCCCAAAAGTCCAAAGACATGCACGGGGTTATGGTTATTGGTGATTCTAAGTTGGCTATGAGTGAGAATGATTGTCTGTCTCTCTGTGTTAGCCCTGCAGTAGACTGGCAATCTGTCCAGGGTGTAACCTGCGAAAGCTGTGAAAGTCTCTGGCGACTCTGAAAAGGAAAAGTGGAAGAAAGTGGATTGGGTGGTACGGCTATGTATGTTGTGTGCACACACATAATGTGATAGAGTAGCGGGCAGATGTCACCAGCATGTTGTCCTGTTTAAAAACACAGCAAACAGACTTAAGCAGAGGCAACTTGCCATGAACAGAATTACCTGATTTGCCCTGTTTGCATATTAA